CCAAAGCCAAGTCCGGCGTCAACACCAATGACGTAACCATGGGGCCATCTCCTCTGCTGCCGCGTATGTTTGAGGACGACTTGGCCACATGGGTGCTCGTAATGGCACGAGACGGTCATCCTGTCGGCTGTCGCGAAATCAAACAGAAGGCAACCCAGATGCTCCAGCGCGTACATGGCATCCAACATCTCCCGAGTCAGTCCACCGGCTGGTACAGTCGGTTCTTGGGCCGTCACCCTGACCTCAAGGTCCTGAAAGCACAAGTGCTCACCAAGTCTCGCAATTCTGTCGACTCCACTACCATTGTTGAGTTTGTCCACCAACTCGAACATTCGGCATCCTTGGTCAACATGGACCCAACAAGAATTTTCAACATGAATGAAACCAGCTTCTCTCCTTCGAAGATATCCAACAAGGTGGTCGTCCACAAATCAACAACACATCTGTCCTATGCCGAGGAGTCCACTGCTTCGACACATGTTACCATTGTGGCCTATGTTGGGGCAGATGTAAGGAAGCTACCACCGCTGTTTGTCCTGCCTGGCCAACGTGTCTCAACTGCAACCTGTGACAGTCTTTCAATTCCTGGCGCTGCTGTGACGACGTCTGAGAAGGGTTGGACCAACTCTTTCATATGCCGTAAGTGGCTGTCCATGCTTGACGCGAACATTCAGTCGAGAACACAGCGACCGATTCTGCTCATCATGGACGACTGCGCATCGCATTTTTCGGAGCTCATTTATGCTGAAGCCAAGGCACTCAACATTTTCTGCCGGCGAATGCGACCCATCTGTTGCATCCCCTGGATGCGACCGTGTTTCGCCCCGTACCATCGACCCAATCCATATTTTTTATATTATCTACGTTTTACTATGTAATTAAATTAATATTGTCTTGTCTGTCACATTTTTTGACACATCCACCTTTGGTTGCACAATTGTGCGGTGTGTAACGAAACAGTCATGCCTAAAGGGTATTCACTGCATTAATGCGTATACTGTGTGAAATGAATATTGAGAGACAAGACTTATTGCTCCAGGTTATTGTTTATATCAATACCCTGTAAAAGTTAATATTCTATTTCAATACTTCCATTAAATTATGGGTGACATCGATCATCATTGGCCAATCGAACATCAAATCAAGGTGTGACCTTGCGGCACTATTCAGCGTCGTTCCCTGTAGTAGTACGATAGCCAACAAGTACCGTCTTGGAAGCTTGAAGCTCAAACTCGATGCATAGAAATACCTATTTTCTAGCCATGCGAGCAATATGCATTACGTTTTCCCTATTTGTTTGAACAAATAATTTCTCAAATGTAATCACTAGACATTTGGAAGTTGAATTAATTAAAACCGGTCAAATTTGTTCTCAACAAATCGAAAATATAATGCGTCGTGCAATACCATGCCGTTATTTTCGCCCATATTTCATGTTATTTTCTGGATTATGTTTGTTTTTTGTACTTTTGAGGACGATAGAGGATGATTTTACAGTAGACGTTTTAAGACCGGCATTTTAATCACCTAAACGCGGGCAATGTTTTGGTGGTTTTACAGTTAATTTGTCGGAATGTTTTCATTTACCTAAATTTGATATTTGTATACTAGTACGTCGTTGGATGTAATTTGGTTGTTATTTCAACTGAGCAGCGTGTCAAGAAGTAGGAAACAGGAGGTAGGCGTGGGTGATAGGCGTGCAGCAACTTGCGCAGAGTGTCCAAGACAAACCAAGTGTGCGGGACAGGGGAAAACGAAAAGTGACATTCAGTCGTTTACAAACTATCTAGCTTCGTTCCTATTGGCTAAAACTCAGCCAAAAGGAAACACTGACGTGTGAGAAACAGCGCTCTTTTCCTTGTGCTAGAGACGTAATTGGGTGAGCAATCACCAGGGTAGGGTAGCGACATGGAGAATATACAGAACATGCAAGTAAAAAGCGGCCACTGTCACGGCCTGCCAGAGTTGATATACTAGGGGATAGAGTTTGGGAGAAATAGGCGAGGACAAAAGGCAAAAGGCGTGAACACAGGCGAGGGAAAAGCACCACTTTTCACAAGCCGAAAAATGGGCACACCTTTGAACGAGCAGCAGGGCTCACAAACAGAGTAGAAAGCAGACACACGCCACCATGAGCCATGAGTGTCAGCGAAAAAGGCGTAGGGTAGATGTTGAATATGTAGGCGTGAAAGGTACAGTAGGAGAAGAGACTTAAGTCGAAGGAGGGAAAAGTAGAAGGAAGTGCACAAGGCAAATATAGGTTAGGCTTGGTAGGCGTAGACTGGAAGGCGTAGATGGTAAGGCGTAGATAGTAAGGCATGATGGCGTAGATGGTAAGGCGGAGTAAAACAGAAAAAACAAATTAGTGCGTGAGGCGAAGATGACTTAGATTTGCTAGGCGTAGGTGGTAAGGCATAGTAAGAGAGGAAAGAAAGAAGGAATGTAGGTGGTAGGCGTAGTAGAAAAACAATTTGAAGGAGTAAGGTCAGTGATTTATCACCATATCACCGATCGAGCATAACGAAAAGAGCGCTGATTCTCACACACACGTCAGTGTTTCCCTTGGCTGAATTTTAGCTAATAGAAACGAAGCTAGGTACCCTGTAAACGACCGAATCTGACTTTCCGTTTTCCCCTGTCCTGCGCACTTGGTTTGTCTTGGACACTCTTCGCAAAAAACAAATTGCTACACGCCTAACACATACACCTATTTCCTGTTTCCTTAATCGTGACACACAGCTAGCAAACTGCTGCTACCTGACTGACAGGGCAGAAGCGATGTTCTGTAACTGACAATGTGTTCTTACTTTAAATACCAAATTAAGCAAACTATTTCCTAGCCCATGGATGTAAATGGGTATTGAGACATCGGCAAAGAAAACCAGGCCAATCTATTGGTGCATACAGTATTGGATAGTTTTTTATGTTATTCGTCGCGTTTGCAAAGCAAATACACTATTTGCTTTGCAAACTCGACGTCCATAGTATGGTGCATATTTTAAGCTTAACTATCATACTAGTACCAAATTGAATATTGTTTAGATGGTTTGGTTGAAACGAGAAAAAGAGTTCGTTGACGTATTTTTCTAAATCGTGAAAAAAAGTGGTAAATCGATTTTGATTGGCTCATGCTATTTCTGAATACTACTTGGAACGGTACCGTGCGTTTGGAAAAATGAATATTTATTTTTCATTTATTTTTCAAATCTGGGCGGATTTAGCTTATTCTTTTCTTAATCTCTTCGTCTTGCATGGAAATGATGGCTAAACATGAATGATAACAGACTTATGTGCTTCGCAACATGGAGAATCCAAGCATTTACTTGGAAGTATACCAGGAGGTTTGACACGCTTGACCACCCCGAAAACCTTTTGAAATCATTTTACAAGTTTTGACACGACTGGATGATCTGGAAGTAGATCGTGAAGTTACACGACACGTTTTGAAGACGTTGTAAAAAGGATTGATAATAGGGAAGTCTGCGAGGTTTACTCGCCTTCAGCAATCCGGAGCATCGCTTGAAGTGATTTAACAAGATTTGACACGTTTGGACGATCTGGAAACTATAAAGTACGATGACACGTTTGGATTAAGGTCAACAGAGTGGGAGGTTCCAAGCGTTCAGGTACGGAATGATGCTCTTGACCATCGCAGGGTGGAACTTTTCTCGGTCAAAGCCTATCGTTTTAACCTTATTAATATATTAAAAAATATAATATTACTCATTTTCATAAATTACCATCAACATACTAGTACTCCCAAAGTCGTGAACGCAAATAGAGGTGGTATTCTTTCCCCCGTTCAAATGACAATTCCACAATCGCTTTGGTGTTCCGTTTCGACCACGGATACTTTCGGAACCCGTTCTGGCCATCCTCGTCAACGAAGACAAGTTGATCAGAGTACGCGTAGTACGGTTGAAGCCAAAAAGGTGAAATTCACAATAATTACACTTCACATAATTCTGGGACTAAATTTTCCAAATTACACTTAGGAATTTTGTATTACGTGATGTGGGAGACAAAATAAAAAGCCAGTTGGAATGTTTTGGCATCGCAACGGTCGACGACGTCGCCAACTTGCTGGACGATCAAGTCGTTTCAATTATTGAGCGAACAACGGGAATTCTTCAAAGTTTTTCCTAAAGTTACGAGATTTGGCCAAATCTACTACACGCCCACATAGATTGACCACAAAAGGCAACCAAACCATACGAATCGTTTTACGGGCCTAGGTGGCGAAGTGAAGTTTTGGCGACCAGCGATATGAAGAACAGTGTGTAAATCGCGGACCATATTGTTTGCGGGTCAGATTGACACGTATGAAGTATTAAAAATAAAACAGCTCGAGTTATAAAAATTTGCAAAGACAAAATAAAAAAGGTGCTTTTAGCAATACTATTCGTATGTAAAGATAGTGAAATTAGAATGATAAGCGTTTGACGCAGTGGCGCAACGGTTAGTGCAACGACATCCACAAGGATAGAGGAAGGGGTCCAGTTTCAAATCCCGGGTACTGTCAAACCTTTTTACACCCTTTGAAATTTTTTAAAATTTTTATGTTGGGACTTGAATACATTTATTCAAATTGACCATAATTGTCGCACAATCCAACTCAAATCACAGCACGCATGACTCACCTGTCGACACGGCCGATCGAAGCACCGACAATGATGCTTCCAACTGCGCCATCTGTTGCACTTGGGTATCTGAAACCAATGGCCAGAGCGTGTCACCGACTTGACGCATTCGTCAACATTCTTGTTCAGTGAAGAATCCTATGACATGAGCTCAGGGCTGTTACCACAAGGACGCCCTTGAATACCGCGTACCCGCGTTCACGCCAAGTTCAGGTAAGACCCATCGTTAGTAGTAACATTGACTTGTACGTCATCTAGGACAGGGCGTCGTGCGCAAGACCCAATCCTCTGCGTGCTTTGTGCCTGCGACGCATATATCGTAGGAAAGTTGATGGAAGGCTTCAGCTGTGATGCTCACCATCACCACGACGGTTGAGACGTACTGGGCGTGGGAGGTTGAGTAGTGACATTGGTAGAGCTGGGAGATGATGTGCGCGGGGGATTAATGAGGTAGTGGGGGCAGTTGAAGATCGGGGACAGTTGAGGATCATCCTCCGTGGTGGAATCGGAAGGAAGTGGAATGTAGGAAGTGGAATGTAGTTTTGTTGGGATGGGGGATGTGGCGGGATGACGAGTGCCGTGGTGGTAAGCCAAGCGTGAGTGTTTGACGTAGCATAAGATGGAGTACGCGTCGTTGTGGACAAAGCAGGCGGAGACGACGACCGGGTCGTTTGGAGTCGACAATTGGTATTGGAAAGGCGTTGGCGCTTCGCAAGTGGCACCAATGTAGAGCGCCGAAGAAGGCTGAGGAAGGATGAAAGGTTTGAGATGTATCCCATCCAGCAGTGGCGGATGGACGTGGTAGGGAGGTGGTCGTCGTGGAGGCGATAAGCGAGCACGACTGTGGGGTGACGAACGACGAGGGTAGCGGATTTCGAGAACGAGGGTTGGATCGGCCATGAGTGGGGTGGGCGCAGCTGGTAGGTGTTGGAGTAGAAAGACGTTGATGAGTCCGAGAGGAGCGGTCTCGCTGGGTGACATGTGGAGGCGATCGAGGGGTAGAAAGAAGTACCTGAAGGCAGTCGAGAGTCGTCACGACTGGTATGATGACCGACTGCTGTGGTGTAGGTAGGCGGGGGTAGGGTGGTGGTATGCGTAACGTACAAGGTGCCACCTGCAACTTGGCGTCGACGGGATTCCAAGTCACAGGAGCCTTGATCCGACAGGATTAGTGTGCTTCTGGGGACAATAAAAGTGTGGCGAATAGTGGCCTTGACGACAACAGGTGTGCACTCGAAGCCATCCTCACGCGCCTTGAACTGGAGCTGACAAACAGAATCCCTCACGTCTGTGTAGACTGCGAAGGCTTTGGAGTAGAAGAGGGTTCGAAAATGCTCGAAAGTCTTCATGTGGCCATCACGAGCCTTGAGATTGTCAGCGTTCGCAGGGGGGGGTTGCCGTTTGATCTGGTCGTCGAGGGTAGCGAACAAGGTTTCGGCAACCATGTCCTCGGAGTTGCGTGAGACTCGCAAACAGCATCATTGGGTCGCAGGTGCCAGCTTCATGTCGCGCCATAAAGTGTCCCAGAGGGAGAATGTAGATTCGTAGGAGATGATAACTTGTTGGAGGATAGACGTGAGGGAGTTGAAGAAGAAAGCCTTTGCTTGGACGCGCAATCCAGCGATGTATTCGTCCATAAACTTGCGCGTAAAGTCCTGTTTGAGGAATATGACCGCCTTAAGGCGCTGTTTCAAGGCGTCGCCAGCATAGCCGTCGGTGGAGTACTTCATAGCACAATTGACAATGTGTAGGAGATAGTGCAGACTCGTCGAGGAACATCATAGGATGTCGTGGCAAATCATATTTTAGTATTTCATTGGCGGTTGGCGGAACTGGCACATTTAGAGCCAGTTTTTCGCTGCCGTCCGAGTTACTTCGCTCACGACCTCATTCAATTTCAGTATTGGCAGGATTCTGCGAGTTCTTGGTCGAATTTGAAATGCCAAAGCGACGGCGGGGCACTGGTCTCAAGCAGACGTGAGGTCGAAGCGATCTCAATGCCATCCCTTCAGTGGTTCCCTTCCTCAAGCATCAGCCATCGTACCCAACGATCCAACCGAAGGATTAGCTAGTACTGTATAATGGATGTCGATGGCATGCTCATCACTGTCCATCAACTACCCTACTACTGAAGTACTACAAGACGTCAAACAATAACAACTATTATATTATAGTACTGCATTGAAAAATGTCGAGTTGCTTGGGTTGTCTATTACGTCCACGTCCTCGGATCACCACCTGAATTCATATTCCACTTTGGCCTCATCACATGCAGTCGTCGTGGAGAGGCATACGATGATCACGTGCATCGAGCGGGTGGCCAAAACAAAGTTGTGGAGATGAACACAGTCGAATCGCAGCTTATTGCGAATTGCACGGAAACGGGGTTGAGTGTTACACAAACCGCGCACATTATCTCCCTCAGGAAGAAAATGGGCATGTTGGTCGATCGGCAGTTTACAGTACTTACCTTCGACTGGCTTCTCAAGTCACCAGTATGACCGCTCCAAAGCAAGGGGGTGCCGACATCGATTCGCCATGGGTGAAAGCAGACTTGCGCGAGCAAGGCAGCTTTGCATGCGTCTTGGGATTTGGTCCTGGCCGCCATCGCATGGACTGGTCCCTTCGAGTATGGACATTTCAAATTTATCTCCGTTGATGCTACCGCCAATTGTGGCGTGGGACAAAACGCACAAGGAAGTCAAGGTTGGGAAACTTGGGCCGGGCGGAAGCAAACGTCAAGTTCGGCTCCCAAGGGATATCAATGGTCACATAGACCTTGACAACGGCGAATATGTGCCCGCAAGCACCTACCTCAAGATGAAGTACCCTGGTCAGGAGTGGTATATATTCGGTTGCGCGATTGTTGAAACTGGCATTGGCCAAGAAGGACACCGATGTAGCCCTCCGTTTACTCAGGCAAATCAATTCGCTCATTGGACAAATATAGATCACTAAGGTAAAAGTAATTTGCAGTGCACGACAGCTCCGAGGGAGCTTATTATCGGATTTCCCTCTATTTTACTACAGAAAATGCATAATAAAGAACTGTATTTGAGCTGCAGCATTGAAATACTTCGAAACACTGTATTCTGTCATACATGTTGTTTCTAAATAATATTGTCGTTCCAATTTCACCTCAAATCTTATTAACCCGTCAAAATTAATTGCGGACAGGTTTTCCACCTCTATCATATAATGGCGAAACCTCGCAATGACTCATTTGATTTGGTTTATTGCATTTCATTTTGGACACCGACATGGTCAAATCAGTCCGTAGAGCCGTCGATGTGGCGGCGTTCGATGAAATATACAGCTTTGTCCAGGCCAATCGCGGCCGGGCCTTGTCAAAAGATGAGCGGCTTGATATCCTGCGCATGCACGCACACACCTACGGCTCGAACAAGCCACGAACAAAACCACTGGTGATGTTTCGATGGATATCGCAGAGATGCTAGGTTATGGGAAACGAGCATTGCAGTGGGTATGGAAGGGCTATATCGCAACGAATTTAATTGTTGTTGCTCCAACTAACTCCAAGTCCAAACCATCACGCATCCCACGGACGATCGAGATTGTTTTATCTGCTCAACTATTCGTCCGTGAGAAGAAACAGCTCCGGTGTCGTGTAGTGGCTGCCAATGTTTTGTCCCACCTGGCAAACACAGGCGTGTTCAACTTCGATCGGACAGATAAGCTGTCGTCCACCACAGCTTTGAGGAATGTTCAACGCTTCTCTCTGTATTGTGGCTACAAACGTGAAAATAAAACAGGAAAAAAGTCATTGGCACTCACAAAAAAACACCATGCTACGGGACATCTACGTTCAGCAAATGTGTGCGGCAACCCAACATTTTAATCCGCGGGATCGACGAACAATTGTTTACACAGACGAAAGTTTTATTCACCACCATTACAACAAAAACGACGTGTCCCTCTACGACCCATCAGACGATATGGACAACCAGCCAAAAGCGAAGCACAAAAGGGAAGCGATACTGCTTCATTGGTGCCATTGTAGATGGCGGGCCGTCCTACTCAACGTTCATCGCCTACGAGAAGTTTGTTGGTACAGGCCAGAAACAAACCAAAGAGTATAATGGCATGTTCAATCATGAGTACTACCTGGGATGGTTCTAGCGGCTCCTGGATGAACTCGACACATACAACCTACGAAACACCATCATCGTCATGGACACAGCAGCTTACCCAAGAGATACACCGGCATTCAAGCCAGACATTTTCGGGCTCGACCAACGGCCAAAAGACGCGCTTTTATGCGCGAGTACCAGAAGTATCTGGGGCAGATCAACACTCTGCAGTGCAATGGATCGCGTCCGTTCGCGATGCCCGCGAGTGCCTGCGTGGACCAGTTTTCAAAGCGCTGGATCGCGCTGTTCGACTTCAACCGCGACCACAATTCGATCACGAACGATGAGTGCGTCGCGTGGTTCAAGTCAGCGTTTGAGGAGGACCCTCAAGACCTGGGCGTTTTTAAGCAAAGTCTGCAGCGAGCGATTCGTTTCGATACGGAGATCCTTGTTGAAGCAAGGAAGAAGAAGGAAGAATGGGACGTTTCGTCCGTGCTGACGAATGAATGTCCATGGCGAATGTCAAGCGGCTGATGGCGGAGAAGTTGAATCCGCCGGAGCTTGACCTCGACGACGGGATGGAGTGTGCCACTCCGGAGGTTTATCCTAAAACCTCCGTCGAGGACGAAGCGGAGCGCCGCCGCACGAAACAGGGCGATGTTCAAGCCATTCTGACGGTTGCACGACTTATTGGCCAAACACATCGATGTGTTCCGTGAAGACTTGGACGACGATCCGCCAGTCAAGGTCGAGCCATTGAAGGTTCGGATTAAACCGGGCTCGACGCCGGTGAAGTATGGGATGCGACGGTACCCGCCGCTGCATGTGGAGTACATGCGCAGCCATGTGGCTGCCCTGGAAGCGAATGGTATGGTATACCAAAACAACCGGGCAACGTGGGCAGCAGCCCCAAGGATCGTGCCGAAGAGGGAAGTCGGCGACTTGCGTATGACGATCGACAGAAGGCCGATCAACGCCTACACAGAACCGATGCCTTGGCCGATGCCAAACCTGGACAGCGCGATGGAACGAACGTGTACTTCACGTTGGACTGGACAAGGGGTACTGGCAGTTGCCAGTACATCCGGTCAGCCAGATGTACTTCTCGTTCATGACGCCCTTCGGCGTGTACACCCCGACCCGCGTGCTCATGGGACAGACGGACGCTGTCGCGTAGTGCCAGTCGGTTGTCCACCAAATGTTTGGTGAGCTGCTGTTTCGAGACCTATTGGCCTGGCTCGATGACTTGCTGGGGTCCGCCAAGACGACGGACGAGCTGCTCGACTTGTTGGACCAAGTCCTGTCCATCTGTGCCCAGTTCGGACACAAGTTGAGCCCGAAGAAGTGTCGTTTCTTTCTGCGCGAGGCAGAGTGGTGTGGCAAGGTGATATCGGCCGATGGAATCACCCATTCCCCAAGCCGAATTCAAGGACTTGTGGCTTTGTCCCAGCCGACGACCGCGGCCGACTTCCAGCAGTTTGTGTGTTCCACCAACTGGATGCGTGCGAGCATCCCCGGCTACAACCAGCTGGTGGATCCTTTGCGATGTCTGATCCACGTGGCCACCAAGGCAGCCGGTAGCTGCAAGAAAACGGCGTTAGTGCGTGTTGCACTCCCTGCCGTGGGATGGTCGTCCGACCACCTCAAGTGTTTCAACTATTTCAAACACGCGTTGGCGCATGTGGTGCCCCTGTCGCACCCGCGAGAAGACAGGTCTGCGTCTTCACGGAAGCCAGTGACCTGTTCTGGAGCGCGGTTACCACACAAGTACCACTAGCAGACGTCGACTTGCCTCTCGAAGACCAGCGGCACTATCATCCGCTTGCGATCATCAGTGAGTCGATTTTTTGGTGCGAGTGGGCGCTTGCCCATCGTGGAGAAGGAGGCCTAAAGGCCGTGGTCGAGTCGTGCAAAAACCTCGACTACCTGGTCGTACGCATGGGTGGTTTCCCTCAGTTTACGGATCATACCAAACTTGTGTACATTTTCAACCCAACTGGCTCGAATGCCAACATGGCCAAGTAACAGGCCGACAAGCTGCAGCGATGGTCTCTGGTGATTTCGACGATCCCGTACACTATTGAGTGCTCTCGGGGGACGCGAATGTATGGGGCGACAGCCTGAGCCGATTGGGTTCGGCTCCGACGGATCAACCAGTTGCGAATGTTCGCACGTTGATCCATGTGGTGTCGCCCCTGCAACGAGTGGATTTTGAGTGCCCAACAGCCGCTACGATCAGCGGTATCCAACGTTAAACCATGAAAGGGGGAGGGAGCCCCCAAACGGCGTGAATTGGGACGACGACTCCCATTTTACGTGGACCCAGACGGACGAATCTGGATCCCAGACGGTGCTGTGGACTTACAGCTGTGAATTTGTGTGATCGCTCACCAAGGAGCCAGCGGTCACCGTCGCAACGCAGCGACGATCAAGTCGGTGTCCGACAAGTTTGTGTGGAAAGAGTCTTCCACACTAATGTCAGTGTGTTATATTTGCTACCATGACGAAGGTCCCGTGGCCGAAAGCCGAGAAGAAGCGGGAGCAAAACAGGTGTTCAAGGACTGTACTGAGCAGGATCTTAGTCATTAATTTACACCGCAAAATGGAAACTGTTATTATGGATGTTATGTAAGCCTATTCCCGCCGTTTAAGTGGTCGACGCTTCCCAATGCGTCGTACCGCGTACATGGCGAGGTATGGTGGGCGATTGTGGTCCAAAGCGCGGGTCGCGATTGGTTGAAATGCCTTCCATCCTGAGCAGCTCAGACGTCCCGCGTCGTGTTGGCTACGGTGACGCTCAAAGCATGAACCCGCATATGCAGCGGACATTTCGAATAATCCTGGCTTGCAATGAAGTGATTCCAGGGTGGAATCGTTGCTGAAAGCGTAGACCCATAACATGCGTCCCGGAACAACCGACAGCGTCTCCAACACTAAGTATACCACTTGAACTATGGTTTTACCACACAGTATACTTGACTGTGAGTACTAAAGTACCGGTAGTAGCAGGTAAACGTCATTTCGTTCGTTCGTCCATATTTTATTCTTAATATTACGTGTTTCGGCTGCCCCCAGACAACTCTAACCCTACATGACTGGTTCTATCTTCATGGCGGCATCGACGACTTGGTCGATGACGCCGAGGTACTTGTGCGTGTACGTCCGCGTCAAGTGGTTGGTGTCCTTCATGACGGGTCGTCCGAGGTCGTCCACCACCCCACACGAGTCGTTCCAGCAGTAGTTGTCGGAGTAGTCTATCAAAGTGGCGTTGGCAGCCGCGGTGGCCTTCTCGATCAGCCCCAGTAGCCACTTGTGTTTTAGTCGAAATGCGGCCTTGGACACGGGACTCACGTCGCCGACGTCGTTGCCGCTGAGCATGTGATACGGGTTGAACTGTTCACCTTCCACGTTGATGGTGGCTACAAACACCTTGATGCCCAGCCCTGTCAACTTGGTCATGTCTTGCTGGAACTTGTTCATGATGGTCACCACATCCTTGGGGCGCTGGTACGTGCACTTGTCTTGGTATCCCGCCACGCAGCACTTTGGTGTACCCGCAACGCTCCCGTCCGAGTCCAATCCCCCAGGGCGGAGGAACTGTGGCCAGTTCATCGAGTGCAGAAACACTTTTGGACGAACTCGCTCCACCACTGCCATGACGCTATCGTAGTGCTCTTGGCAGGTCAAGGCGGGCGTTCCGTCTAATGATTTGAACACGACCGTGGGGAAGTTGGACCGGTTGCGGGCGCCGTGCCTGTCTTCGAACGACCGCAGAAACCGCGGCTTGGCCTGGTTCGCGTGCGAGTCGCCGTAGACAAACACGAGGTTTGGTTGGCCAGGGTTCATCATCATGGTCGCGTGGGTGGTGCCGAAGGGGGCGTCGGCGGGCGCGGGTTCAAAGCCCACGTCCACGTTAAAGTCCCCAGGGGCGGCCATGATCTTGTCGTACGAAGGGTTAGCAATCCGACTGAACCGGTTTGAGTTGGGGGCGTCGGGGGGCGCGATGACATCGTCGGGGGCCACCATGGCGGCGGCCACCACTTGGTCAAGCACAGTCAGGTACTTTGCAGCAAACTTGGGTGTGAACACGTTCGAGTTGCGCCGGACGGGCACGCCGCTCGGGTCTACCACTCTGCACGTGTCCTCCCAGCACAAATTCTCGGAGAAGTCGATGACGGTGGCGTTGGCTCCAGTGATCGCGCCTTCCACGAGGTCAATCAGCCACTTGTGGTTGGTTCGAAATACGGAGCGCTTCACGCTGCGCACGGGGCTGTCCAAGATAAACTTGGGGTCGAACTCGTTGCCTTCAGGGGCGACAGTCGTCACAAACACCTTAGCCCCGAGACTCACCATGTCGGTGAGGTCGCTCTGGAACCGCGTCAAGATGGCCTCGACGTCTTTCGGGTTCTGGCCCTTGCACGAGTCGCCGTAGCCCTGCAGACAGCACGGCGGGCTCTTGTGCGCTGGCTGCCACGCCGCCCCCCCCGGATGCAGATGCGCGAGCCAGTTGATGCTCATGAACACGACATTTGGCCGGACTTTCTTGATCATCTGGTGCTGGTAGTCTGTCCACCAAATGCACTTGGCCAGCGGCGGGTAGATGGACGACTTGAACGCGATGGTGGGAAAATCGATGGGGTTGGTGTGCAACGCCAGCTGCTGGAACCGCGGCTTGACCATGTCCAAGTGCGCATCTCCCAGAGCGATCACGAGCGCCCGGTCTTCTTGGCCGGGGTTGATCAGACGACCTTCGGCACTGTACTCGACCACATGATTCTTGGGAATAGGAAGCCCAATGTCTGGCAGAATGTCGAGCTCCGCCGCGATGATCGAAGCATGCGTTGGCACTTTCGTGGCATTCTCGCGGCTGACGTTGGGGATGTCTGGCACCAGGCCGACTGTGACACTAGGCGTCAACACTGTCGCAGACAACGCCGCGCGCGCATTCATGGCTTGCTGTGAGTACGAGAACGAGTCTGGACTTGCGAGGATGATCCCTGCCAATATGGACATGCCCAGCATGCAGCCCATTAGAGCTGGCACAACCCACCGACCCTTGTGTCTTCTCAAGCTGTTTTCAACGTGGTACAAGGAGCTCAGACTCAAGACAAACGCCAGCCCGAGCATTGCCATGGGTGTCATGTAGTTGGGCCGGAAGTCCGGGTTAGGAAACCGCAACTTTGCAATGACTAAGAGTGGCCAGTGCCACAGGTACAGAGCGTAACTGAGCTTGCCCACAAACACCATGGACGGCAGACTGAGCACCGATTGGTTAAACCAGGCAGTAGGACCTGCAAAGATCAAGAGGGAGGCGCCCAGTGTGGGCAGAACAGCCCAGTAGCCGGGGAAGGCAGAGGATTCGTCCAGACAGGCAAAACCCAGCACGATGCAGCCGAGCCCAACCCAAGACAAGGCAGTGGCTTGGTGGTCGCTGGTGGCTTTGCTCACTGATTTGGAGCTGGTGGACACAGACTCGTACTGGGTTTGGGTGAGGCGAATGTGGTTCACATACGCCAGTAGGCCCCCCATGCCCATCTGCCAGAACCGACTCAGGGGAAAGTAGAACGAATACTTGTTGGTGCCGTGAAAGCCCAGAAAGGAGATGTTGCAAGTGAAACTCAACGCCAGCACCGCCACCTGCATCACCACGGCCGATCGCACCGACAGCCGCGTCAGAATGGACACGAAGCACGGCCAGAAGATGTAGAACTGCTCCTCCACGCCCAGCGACCACAGGTGCAACAGCGGATTCTCCTTGATGTCGTCGTCAAAATACCCGCGGTCTAGAAGCATGACCTGGAGGTTGGCGCTGAACATGGTGCCCGCTAGCATGGTCGTGGCCAGCGCCTGAAGTTTAGCCGAGAGCAGGTAGAGGCAGCCCAGCCAGAACGTTAGAGACAACACGAGCAGAAGTGTGGGGTAGATGCGGCGGATGCGGCGGCTGTAGAAGCTCCCGTACGTGAACGTGCCCTTGGTGCACTCTTTGAAGAGGATGCTCGAGATCAAGTAGCCGGAAATGACAAAGAACACGTCGACGCCGATGAATCCGCTGGGAAATCGCTCCGGGTACGCGTGGAAAAGGATCACAGGCACCACGGCCAGCGTCCGGAGGCCGTCGATGTCGGCGCGGTACTTGATCGGATGCGGCGCTGCGTCTTCGATGGCTTTCGTTGGGACGTCTGATGTTGGGCCAGCGGTGGTCGGGTGGAGCGAGGCGTCTTCGCGGGGAGTGTGAGGCGGGTGGTCATTAGGCGGCATGGGAGGTTTTAGGCCGCTGCTGGCCTGATGTGAAATGGTGCTGTGCAGGCACCTGGCAACCCATAGAAATCCCTCACATATACCAGGTACCAACCACCTCATGCATGACTAATTCCCCCACAGAAGGGGTATAATCACCCAAGTTATACCTATTGTCGATGAATTTTGGGAAAACTGAAACAGCAAATCAAAACGAATGAAGTTTGCACAAATAAGTACATTAATATGGATTACAGTACCATTGTGAAAACACTACCACCCATTTCAGCTACAGTAGGGGCTTAAGCATCTCTCATGTTATCTAAGGTATTTTCCCACAACTGGTATTTCAGGTCTCCAGCAGGAGTTATACGACTGCCGGAATTAGTCCCTCATGCTCCCTTTTTTGACTTTCATCTGGTTGGCATGGGTTGGATACATGGCGGGGTTGTGGCCGAGGGCAGTAATCCCTTCACATACAAATGCCAAGATGGACCAGTGCCTGTGCACAGTCGATATCTCCGCATGGCAGCAAATGGCATGGCGTCCGTGGTACGTGTCACATTTGCAACAATTGTGCTCAGTCCTGTACATAATAGTGACCTGCGCTTTTTGGAGCTTATCCATTTTATGACGGAAACTGTTTCTTGAATACTACGTGGTATGAAGTGCAGGTATAAAAATGTGTAACGAGTTATTCTGACTAAGTATGCCACCGTAGTATGTACCGGTACTGTAACTCCATGGTAACATATTAGACCTTAGTAACAGTAAGTGCGTTCATGATATGAGACAAATCGCAATTGTAAAGAACCATACAGAATTCCAATATAACTCATCACTTGGTGA